AACGAGTCTACCCCTATGAAAGTTATTCGGCAATCTGGACCTGATTGAGAGGTCAGAGGAGGTATAGATATATGAATATATACTAAATACTTGACAAATGTTAATGAATAGTTTAAAAGAATGGGCAGAGGATGAATATGTAAATAAGAGACATGACATGAGATGTCGATACTTTGATGACAAGGTGTGAGGCTCGCCGGGGACGTCTTGAAGCAAGAGAATAGAATGTATACCGATGGTTATATGCTTATTGTATATATCCAATTTATATCCATTGTTTCGTGTTTTATCTTTTGTTTCCTGTCACCTCACCCAAAAACATTTTTATCCCATCAGCTAACCCAAAAATAAATATAAGCACGATCTGAGTATATATAAAATGTCTTTGAAAATGTGAGAAGTGTTCTTACGAAATGCTTCTAGGCGTCAGACCATAACTAAAAAAGTGAAAATGAACTTTGGAGAGTTAATTTTTCATCTACCCCAGTCCTCTGTCCTATTCCGTGAGGTCTACTATCAAATTCATCTATCTGGGTCCTCAAAATCAGGTTAGGTACTCCATGCAAACCCTCCAATCTGCTGCATCTGAAGTTCTCCTCGAATGTTATCTTGAGATCATTTCGGGGCTTAGCGTCCCCTCGGCCCGGTCCTCGACCAAGTCTCCTTTTTGTTACACACCCCCAGGAAGCAGCCCGTAGCAGCTGTTTAACTCCCAGGTACCTATTTACTGCTCGGTAACAGGGGCTTCAGGGTGAAAAAGTCATTTGCCCATTTGTCTCCGCCTCCGCCGGGACCTCAGGACTACGAATCCGAAGCGCTGTCAACTCAGTTGTCAGGCGTCCATGAATGAAGCTCTCTCACACGTCTTCACACAAAAGGCGTGTAGCTCTCTATACTACTTGAAGATTCACTATGTCCATGGATTTCCATTCCACACTGAAAGGCATCTTTCACTTTGCAGTTCATCTCCCACTATGAGTTTCAGCTTTCCCTTGGAGTTCAGCATACACACCTCCTCTGGCACGAAGTTACTTCACTAACTTCTCTCACACAAACCTGCAAATCCATCACCATGCCAATATAAAGGGTTTTCCTGACCTAAATAAATGTCTTCACGGCAAATGAACTCCTCCACCCAAGATCCTTTCAAACACTACGGCACCGCCGCGATGGGTCCTCCCTCATCCCGGGTGGGTTCAAGCTGGAAACATGTTTTGACGCGTCGCTGGAGGCCGCCGCTCCTGTTGCGACGCTGGAGGGCTCCCCCCCCCTTCCCTCAGTCATCCACTGGCCTCCCTTAAGAGAAGACGTTCCACTCCTCCCTCGAGCATGTCCACTCAACTCTAACTCCTTATACTTGCTAACTGGCTCAATAAATTTCCACCCTATATATACATATGCTGGGTACACGATCAAACACTGGTAGCTAATCTAACCAACGATAAAACAGGCTTTCTGCAGGGATTTATGACGTAGGGGCGCTCGTGTCCTGGAGCTCACACAGGCCGCTCACAAAAATCACTATAGGACTGCTTCACAAGGCTTCTAGTCCTGACTTGAGTACACGGAGTCGCCCAGCAGGCTCCACAACAGAAACGCCTGCTTACTTCCTTCCTCTTGAAGGAGCACACACAATTAGAGTTCCACAAAGGCGCGACCATCGCACACTTCCAGGTCGCCTCTAATTTAACAAAATCTCAGAGAAATGTTGTACTAAGTCCCCAACAGCTTCCTCACCCTTGCAAACACGCAGCCATCGCTCCACCAATAACATAGGGAACTGTATTTTTCCACCTCCCAGGAAATCAACAAAGTACAATCACCTCTGACGACTACTGTTGCTAAAGTGAGGTCACGACGTCCTGATAGCGTTACATCATGTCACTAAAGTATCGACATCTCATTTCATGTAGCTTATTTAAATGCTCGTCCTCTGCTCATCTTTTTTAAATTATTCACTGACGTTTATTACATATATAATATATATAGTTTTCTCTCTCTTTCTCTCTCTCTCTCTCTCTCTCTCTCTCTCTCTCTCTCTCTCTCTCTCTCTCTCTCTCTATATCTATATATATATATATATATATATCTATATCTATCTCTATCTATCTATATCTATATATATATATATATATATATATATATATATATAGTTTACAGTTATATATATAACTGAAAACTCACACCCCAGAAGTGACTCGAACCCATACCGCTAGGAGCAACGCCACTAGTGTGTACAGGACACCTTAATCCACTCGACCATCACGACCGGTCATAAGGAGGTGATAGCCGAAGCTATTTGAAACACCCCCCCCCCCCACCCCACCCCCGCCGGCACTCGGATGATAATCTTGGGCATAGTATTTTATCAAATCACCTCATTCTTTGGGGCACACGTGAGGAACACAAATGAGAACAAGCCTGAATGGTCCCCAGGACTATATGCAACTGAAAACTCACACCCCAGAAGTGACTCGAACCCACACAGCCAGGAGCAACGCAACTGGCGTCCTGTACATACCAATTGTCTTTTACATACATACCTTCTGGGGTGTGAGTTTTCAGTTGCATATAGTCCTGTGGACCATTCAGGCTTGTTCGCATTTGTGTTCCTCACGTGTGCCCCAAAGAATGAGGTGAATTGATAAACTACTATGCCCAAGTTCACCATCAGAGTACCGCGGGCTGATGGGCTAAATAGCCTCAGCTACCATCAGTTTTTGTCTGGTCGTGATGGTCAAGTGGAATAATGTGTCCTGTATATACCAGTTGCGTTGCTCCTGGCAGTATGGGTTCGAGTCACTTCTGGGATGTGAGTTTTCAGTTATATATATATATATATATATATATATATATATATATATATATATATATATATATATATATATATATATATATATATATATATATATATATATATATATATATATATATATATATATATATATATATATCACGAAAATAAACACGTGATTAAGAATGTGACAATGTCAGACCACGGAGGAAAATGAAACAGGAATTTCCTTAAGTACTTTCGTATATTAAATACATCTTCAGAAGGATTACATCTTCCTTCTGAAGATGTATTTAATATACGAAAGTACTTAAGGGAATTCCTGTTTCATTTTCCTCCGTGGTCTGACATTGTCACATTCTTAATCACGTGTTTATTTTGATATACACACACACACACAAATATATATATATATATATATATTTGCACATCTTTCCTCTGATCTCTCACATTCGGTCCAGAAGGCAAAATAACACCCCTGAAAGTGAGACTCATTCCACCCAGGCTACATGTGGTCATAACAATCAACACAAGACAGAACACGAAACAATGGGTATAAATTAGATAAGTTCATATTTAGGAAAGACCTGGGTAAGTACTGGTTTGGTATCAGGGTTGTTGATTTGTGGAGTTAATTACCGCGTACCATGGTAGAGGTTGGGGTCCCTTGATTGTTTCAAGCGTGGGGTTTGACATGTATATGAATGGGATTGGGTGGTTGTAAATGGGAGCTGCCTTGTGTGGGCCAACAGGCCCTCTGCAGTTACCTTTATTTGTATATTCTTATGTTCTTAAGACTTTCGCGAGCCGTTTCCATTTTCTACTACGACAATTTTTGGCCTTAAGTAACGCATATGAGCGAAAAGCGACGTTCTATGTAAGAGGACACGTTTATCCATGACGTTCATTACTCTTTTTTGCGTGAACAGTTTATTTTTCTAATTTCACCCAAAAATAAAAAATAAACTTTTATTTGAAAGGTTACAGAAGCAGTAGTTACAATAGTTTTTGCATATAAAACAGGAATATTAATACCAGTAACAGTAGTAGAAGTGCTGGTAGTCACAGTGGTATTTATCAAACTTTACAAATTAAATAACACATTAATTAAATATTACAGAAATTCATCTAAATTAAAATATTCTTTGTTTTTTCCGAAGTGGTAATAGATGTAATGGTAGCTGTAATTGTAGTGACGTTAGCCTTAGTAATATTAGTTGTAGCACTGACGACAACATGTACGCATTACCAGGGTTATCTCTTCCAGTAACTTCAATATCAGTACGAGGCCTGGCAAATTTCCCGCTAGTTAATCAATACGAGGGCTGGCAAATTTCCCGCCAGTTAATCAATAACATCGTATTTTTTCTGTAATAATCATGAAAAAATCCATGAAGTCATATGGCAAGATAGTCACAACACATTGACAGAAACATTTCCAAAGAATTCAACAATTGATATATAATGAGTAGCAACCTAAAGATTAACAAAACGTGCTAATTTGAAGATTAAACTGGAATTTTCTGAACGGAGAATTCTATAGAGCATTAAGCAAGTAGAGTTTTTAAAAGGGCTATCGTGATAGGCTATGAGAATCTCTGAGGAATAAGACGCTGCAAAACTCTGCCTACGGATTGTTATTTAATTTTGATTGTCATCGACAGCAGTGTTCACAATATCTGAAATAATGGAAATTTGCCACCCATTTTTGTATTTTAAAATCTTAAATATAATCAAAATAATTAAATGTAAGTAATTGAAAAGTGAGGATTCGTGGTGTTGCATTTTTGGATGAAGATTTTTCAAATTTAAAAATATAATTTGTGCTCAAATCGTGACTTCGTCAGTTTCTATCGAATTTCGATGAAATATTCAAATAATGCACTGCGGACAACGCCCTACAAAGCAAAATTAAGTTTTTTTCTTAATAAATTTATTTAATTCTTTTAATTTTATATAATTTTTAAAAAGATTAAAATTATAAGGACAATTAGTAAAGGCAAGTAGGATAGATTTTTAAGGGTAGTCCCCAAGCTTTGTGGATATGAAGAAAGCATACTTCACCAGGAATAATGAAGACGAAATGAAAGTTGAACAAGTTTTATAATGATGAAATGTTTCTAAATTGTGGGAAGAAGTTTCTTCATGTAAGTGAAGATATATCGAATAAATCCGCCCATCCGCCTTAAATGACAGTTCTTATAGTAATTATTTGCAGGAAAGTACCAATATGTAGTGATGGTCCACCAGTAAAGCACTTTTTGTATAATTAATTTTATACAGTCCGGAAAAAATACAGTAAAAGAAATAAACTTAAATATTCCTAGGCTAGTATAGCACATATTTAAACTATAGTTGTCTTAGAGAGTGTGTATTAGGCCTAGATTTTTTTGTGGTTATGAAGCTAAGGGCTGGAGGAGGAAAGAAATGTCATGATAACGGGCAATTATGGTCAATCCAATGGAAATTAAAATTTTTACCAAATTTGTATCAACAATAAGTAATAAATTAAAAGAATTGCTTCCTTGTATTTGCTTGGTCCAAATAGGATCTCCAGCCGTGTAACAACTGCGTCTCTGTGATAAGGGAGGGAGTATAAGTGTTGGCTCCAAAGCAGCAGTTGATACAGTTGACTCTCGTATCCAAAGTCAACTAGGTTCAGCACCACAGCCCTCCTCGACCAGGCCGCACAATACATCTGCACCAATCCCAGAGCACGACCCACGACAACGCAGGTGCAGCAGGAGAGACCACTGGACGAGAAGGCAACCGAACAGCATCTTCAGTATGACCAAGCGGTTGCTGGTGGTGTCGCTCTCGGCAAGAATGCCTGCATACGTAATTGGTTCATATTATATAAACTTTTTACTGGTATTTTTTTGGGGGGAGGGGGAGAGCTAAGAATTCCTCTACATCTGTATAGGGGGGAACACTTGTGTCTATCCACTATATGTTTGTGGGATATGAGGGAGGGAGTTGTAGATATGGTAAATGGAGGGTTTTCATGATAGTGACTTTGTGAAACACTCACAGACCAACCGTATCTGTTTTTCTTTAGAGAGTTTATATGTATTACATTGATCACGTTTAGATGTATATGACACCTACATAAACCTGCTCCTAATGTTAAACACCAGCATACTGTAACACCTGTAATGGTTGAGAAGGCTGTAAGAAAGCTAAAAATGGGAGTTATGATAGTCCTCTTAACATATACTCTGACAACTTTAAACATGGAATACCGAAACTATATATCTATCTATCTGTGTCTTACAGATTTTCTCTCCAATGGTACATCGTCATCCGTAATACACACATCTGAACGTGTTACCATTCCAAGGAAGGGCTGAGCTTCTATGTCTTCCTCTGATAATTTTGTACCTATTACCCTAAATACATTAGTCTGAGTATTTGATTATACTCTTTGATTTTCTACCTGACAAACTAGACTCCTCTGACATGCAGTTTGCATATAAAATTGGTTACTCAACAACGTTTTGTAATTTCGTGCAGTCGAAAGCATTCAGTACAAAACCCACATGGCAGCTCTGTTCTCTCTCTTTTTCTTGATGCTTCAAAACTTTTCGAAAAGTTGAACTCACTCTATTTTCTTTAATTACTTTGCTGAAAAGTAAGTCCTGCCATCGTTAGATATTTATACATTTTTTATCAGAATTGCAAATTAGCTGTAAAAAATTTTCTTCCATAAATTGGATCAAACAAGGTGTTGCTAGTCCTTTATTATTTGCTGTCTATCTTGATCCATTGTTGAAAGAGTTAAGAGTCACTAGTGCTGGCTGTCCCATACATGGAACAAAGTCCAAGGTTTTCTGTTATGCTGATGGTCTAGTTCCACGCACACCAATCAAACGAGACTGGAAATCTTGATAGAAATTTGTGAAAGATATAGTGCAGAATGCAGTTTAACGTTCAATTCTGCAAAATGTGCTGTTGATGCTCTTAATGCACTGAACTCGTTTGATGGAGATCCCAAACTGAGATTACTAGAGATTTCAGTAAAGTACTCTAAAAATCATCCGAGACATATTATATCCTGAAAGGACTACTTGTCACTTTTCTGATGCAATTGGAGACCTAAAGATCAGAATGAATGTCATTACTAGTGATGTTTGTCATCTTGATTCCAGTTCGAAAGTATAGTTATTTAGCAATGTCTAAGCTTGCATGGATGTGAACTATGGGTCCAAGAAGATGCTGACCTTAGTAAGTTTAATTGTGAATAGAGTAAATGTCCTAGATGCATCTTGGATGTCCATTCTTGCACTCGTCCTACCTGGCCTCATGTCCACACACACACACACACACACACACACACACACACACACACACACACACACACACACACACACACACACACACACACACACACACACACACACACACACACACACACACACACACTCACACTCACACACACACACACACACAGGGAAATGGCTACTGGAGTTTAACACCAGTAAATGTAAAGTTATGGAAATGGGATCAGGTGACAGGAGACCAAAGGGACAGTACACAATGAAGGGGAACAGCCTACCTGTAACGATTCGAGAAAGAGACCTGGGAGTGGATGTGACACCTAATCTAACTCCTGAGGCACATATAAATAGGATAACGACAGCAGCGTACTCTACACTGGCGAAAATTAGAACTTCATTCAGAAACCTAAATGAGGAAGCTTTTAGGGCGCTTTACACTGCCTACGTGAGACCCGTCTTAGAGTATGCCGCGCCATCATGGAGCCCCCACCTGAAGAAACACATAAAGAAACTGGAGAAGGTTCAGAGGTTTGCGACGAGGCTTGTCCCAGAGCTACGAGGGATGGGATATGAAGAGCGGCTGAAGGAACTGAACCTTACGACACTAGAGAAAAGAAGGGAGAGAGGAGATATGATAGGGACATATAAAATACTCAGGGGAATTGACAAAGTGGAAATAGATGAAATGTTCACACGTAATAATAACAGAACGAGGGGACATGGGTGGAAAGTGGAAACTCAGATGAGTCACAGAGATGTTAGGAAGTTTTCTTTTAGCGTGAGAGTAGTAGAAAAATGGAATGCACTTGGGGAACAGGTTGTGGAAGCAAATACTATTCATACTTTTAAAACTAGGTATGATAGAGAAATGGGACAGGAGTCATTGCTGTAAACAACCGATAGCTAGAAAGGCGGGATCCAAGAGTCAATGCTCGATCCTGCAAGCACATATAGGTGAGTACATATAGGTGAGTACACACACACACACACACACACACACACACACACAAAAGCAAATGTGGAAGCAAATACTATTCATACTTTTAAAACTAGGTATGATAGGGAAATGGGACAGGAGTCATTGCTGTAAACAACCGATAGCTAGAAAGGCGGGATCCAAGAGTCAATGCTCGATCCTGCAAGCACATATAGGTGAGTACATATAGGTGAGTACACACACACACACACGCACGCACGCACGCACACACACACACACACACACACACACACACACACACACACACACACACACACACACACACACACACACACAGTCTGTCTCGTAGCCTGGTGGATAGCGCGCAGGAGTCGTAATTCTGTGGCGCGGGTTTGATTCCCGCACGAGGCAGAAACAAATGGGCAAAGTTTCTTTCACCCTAAGTGCCCCTGTTACCTAGCAGTAAATAGGTACCTGGGAGTTAGTCAGCTGTCACGGGCTGCTTCCTGGGGTGTGTGTGTGTGGTGTGGGAAAAAAAAAGTAGTTAGTAAACAGTTGATTGACAGTTGAGAGGCGGGCCGAAAGAGCAAAGCTCAACCCCCGCAAAAACACAACTAGTAAACACAACACAACTAGTAAACACACACACACACACACACACACACACACACACACACACACACACACACACACACACACACACACACACACACACACACACACACACACACGGGGACACAGGTGGAAACTTAGTACCCAGATGAGCCACAGAGACGTTAGAAAGAAATTTTTCAGTGTCAGAGTAGTTAATAAATGGAATGCACTAGGGAGTGATGTGGTGGAGGTTGACTTCATACACAGTTTCAAATGTAGATATGAAAGAGACCAGTAGGCTCAGGAATCTGTACACCAGTTGATTGACAGTTGAGAGGCGGGACCAAAGAGCCAGAACTCAACCCCCGCAAGCATAATTAGGTGGGTACAATTAGGTGATTATACACACACCCAATCCCAAACCCACCCACCGAAACCCACCCACCGAAACCCACCCACCCAAACCCACAAATACACACACACACACACACACACACACACACACACACACACACACACACACACACACACACACACACACACACACACCACACACACCACACACCACACACACACACACACACAACACACACACACACCACACACACACACACACACACGCACACACACACACAAACACACACACACACACACACACACACGCACGCACGCACGCACCCCCACACACACACACACACACACACTGGCGGGGAGGAGACCTGGGGAGCGAAGCTGGTAGACGTTATTGACAGGAATTTCCTAACACAGCATGTGAAAGAAGATACTAGGGAAAGAGGAGGGGATACGCCCAGCCTATTAGATCTCATTATCACTCAGAATGTAGAAGACATCGAGCAGTTGGAACATGAAATACCACTAGGAGCTAGTGACCATTGTGTCCTAGTCTTTGACTACATGATGGAGCTTAAAATTGTGACCAAAGGACAAGAGGTCCGGGAAAGGAGACTTGATTACAGAAAAGGGGACTACAGAAGGATAAGGGACTACCTGGGAGAAGTGCAGTGGGAGGAAGAACTTAGAGGAAAAACAGTGCAAGGTATGATGAACCAAGTCATATTGAAATGCAAGGAGGCTGAAGATAGATTTATTCCAACAATAAAGGAAAAAAGCAGGAGGGAATATAATAACCCATGGTTTAATAGACAGTGTCAGGAAGCAAAGGTGAGAAGCAGGAGGGAGTGGAGGAAGTACAGAAGACAAAGGACAGAGGACAACAGGATTAGATGTAACAGAGCTAGGAATGATTACATTAACATAAGACGAGTGTCGGAAAGAAATTATGAGAACGATATTGCAGTCAAAGCGAAAAAGCAACCAAAATTACTACATAGCCATATAAGAAGGAAGATGTCGGTAAATGACCAAGTGACAAGACTGAGGAAAACAGAAGGGGCATATACAGAAAGCGACAAGGAAATCTGCGAGGTACTGAATGCAAAATTCCATGGAGTGTTCACAACCGAGCCTGAGCAGCTCCCATTGTTAGAAGAGATTACCCAAGATGAAAGACTATCAGATATAGAGGTGACAGCAGAGGATGTAATGAAACAGTTGACAACACTGGATGCAAATAAAGCTGTTGGACCAGACAAAGTATCACCGTGGATACTCAAAGAGGCAGCGCAGGCTCTCAGCGTGCCTCTGGCAATGATCTTTAATGAGTCACTTATGTCGGGAGAATTGCCCAGTTGCTGGAAGGAGGCAAATGTCGTACCGATTTTCAAAAAGGGTGATAGGGAGGAGGCACTTAACTACAGACCCGTATCACTGACAAGCATCCCCTGCAAAATACTTGAAAGAATAATTAGGCTAAGACTTGTTGAGCACCTGGAGAGCATTGGGTTTGTAAACAAGCACCAACATGGGTTCTGGACAGGGAAATCATGCCTAACAAACCTTTTAGAATTCTATGATAAAGTAACAAGGATAAGGCAGGACAGAGAAGGCTGGGCAGACTGCATATTTCTTGACTGCCAAAAGGCCTTTGATACGGTACCGCACATGAGACTGCTATACAAACTTGAGAGGCAGGCAGGAGTAAGCGGAAAGGCCCTAGTATGGGTGAAGAACTACCTAACAGGAAGGAGCCAGAGGGTAATGGTAAGGGGCGAAAAGTCGGACTGGCGAACAGTAACAAGTGGAGTACCTCAAGGATCGGTGCTGGGACCAATCCTCTTTCTAATTTACGTAAATGATATGTTTACAGGAGTGGAATCATACATGTCAATGTTTGCAGATGACGCAAAATTAATGAGAAGAGTTGTGACAGACGAGGATTGTAGGATCCTCCAAGAGGACTTAAACAGGCTGCAGAGATGGTCAGGGAAATGGCTACTGGAGTTTAACACCAGTAAATGTAAAGTTATGGAAATGGGATCAGGTGACAGGAGACCAAAGGGACAGTACACAATGAAGGGGAACAGCCTACCTGTAACGATTCGAGAAAGAGACCTGGGAGTGGATGTGACACCTAATCTAACTCCTGAGGCACATATAAATAGGATAACGACAGCAGCGTACTCTACACTGGCGAAAATTAGAACTTCATTCAGAAACCTAAATGAGGAAGCTTTTAGGGCGCTTTAC